GCTCAATGGTCATGATTACACTCACGGTACAGCATCGTGGTGTGATGAAATGGTGGTGTCACCTCTTCCGACGACCGCACCTCTTCCCAATCACCTCCCTACATACCAATTTCCCACATTTTCCAGTTCACCCAAAAAGTTCGGGCGGGGGGACGGAACAATTTTTCCCCCATCGCGGCGAATTACTATCAAAGCCACACACGACCCCTGCCCCTCTCTCTCTCCCAACAACCAAATGCGACCACTCTCCCCAGCGGAAAACGAAGACCTCCCTTATGCGTTTCACACAACGATGCTGTACCCTGATTACACTTGAGAGAGGATCACCATCAAGAACCGTGCCTTTCTGACGAGAGAGGACTAGCACCAAGAAGCCTGCTTCCTTGACTTTGTCCTTCTGGAATACTTCGTAGCATGGCATCTCCCTCTTTATGATGGTGGTTATCCATCTTTGAGGGAATTGTGTTTCCAAGATATCGCAAGGCGAACTGTCGTAAACATAAAAACTGTATCAATACAGGAACTACTCAATATTACGGTGCTTTTATTTCGAAACAATTCCTCTCCTTCTAAATTTTTTGCCCTCGGTATCTTAAAAGCAGGAAACCGCGTTGGAAAATAATAGCCTGTAATCATATAGTTAAGATTTAGTTCTATGGACTACTATGATATTTCCACCTCCATTCTCAAGAATTTTTGTGTTCTTACACATAACAGAACATGGTTTCTAGCTGTATGAGTACAGCAAATCAGCTCCAGATGGCTAGGAGGAAAATTTCAACTCTTGTAGCTTGGTTACTGATCTATGTATCACATCTCGCTCTGTCCATAACAGCGCTTTGAATGTTGTGTGACCGTTGTTTGGGCCTATTCTTTTCAAGGGGCATCTGTCTGGGCGTCCCAACTCAGAGAGGACTGCTACTCATTAGAGAAAACCGTCTCGTTCAGCCTACTTCTTTATTCGATCATATTGTAAGGTAGGAATCATCTTGCAATCAATCATCAGGAATTAGACTACAGTGACCCTGTTATTATTAATCAAAGGAACGGTCCCAGATGACCTATGAAAATGGATGATGCTTGTTTGGAAAGGGTAGTGTGGTCCGCAGTGAAGGACGTTGTACCATTTTTGCGGCGGAAAGCTTTAGAGTGAAGGAATGTAAAATTGATCCAGTGAAACCTCCCTTCTCCCAGTAACTACGCCTCCAAACTCGCCTTCGAAGGCCACATTCCAGCCCGAAGGATGCTATCAGACAAGTAGCATGTAGTAATGGAAGCTCCATTGCTTCTTGTGGGGTCATAGGGTTCATTGCGAGGGATCAGCCGACAAGACTCCCAGGTCTTTTGGCCTTTCACCGTACAATCGTTTGAGGCTAGCGGATTCTATTGAAGGCGTTTAAGACGTTCTCTTTGGCTTTTTCTCTTCCAAGACAATTCCTGCGACTAAGTGTTACGGGTAGTTGGTGCTCAGTCATGAACCAGTGGCCCATAAGTAGCTCCTCAGTAGAAAAAGAAGCGAAAAAAAACCTCGGGAACACCCTAAACACAGACCTCCCCTCAGCAGTGGCGGCGTCTTGGACGAGTATGTCGGGCGTGAAGGACGCGCTCTCCATAGCGATTGGAGCGCAAAGCTTGAGCCGTGGGACCGTGGCGTGAGCGCCAGGCAATTCCTGGCCATGCGATGCGATATGTTTGGAGGTTGAAGGTCACGAAGCAAGATATTTAGTCTTTTTTCTGAAAAGCTCGATAGTAAAACAGGTCCGATGTCGGAGTATTGGTATAGTAACAACTGAATAGTGCCTTCATATAAAAGATCATTGAGTGAGTCTGAGAAACAGACTAACTGCTCTTCATTTCACATCCTCCTCTTGCCACGAGTATGGTAGACGAACTACCTGCCACAAGCTGCACTAGTGCCTCCCCATTGTCTACTTTATTCCTGTACCACATACGAGGCATCACAGCGATCGAAATCTAGTACGATGTGGAGGCCTCCATGCTGCCTGATCTCTTCCTCATTCTTGTAGAAGATCCTCTCATCAGTGGCTTAGTGGCTTATGAAAGCTGAAGCGCTAACTGGAAGCGATATTAGAAGTTGACTTTTATACGATTTGTAAGTCACGTCGTCGGGGTGGCGTATAGCTGTATAATATCAGGCTGAAAAGAAAGTGAAAAAAGGTTTGAGACACAATTTTTCATTCTATCACAACACTGTATTATGCCCCGTTGTTATCTGCAGGTTTCTGCCAGCGTACGAGTACATAGATCGCATGTGTCTTTTCTCCGCAACGCAGATGGCTGGCCTTGGAAAATGCCTCTAGTTCCTTCATGATGTCATCAATTGTTTTGTGAAGCTTGCATCCGATGGCGCTAAATTTTTGGGAAAATATTGCACTCGGACATCAGTGGTGTGAGTGGTAACGATGCCCTTTCATACGTCGTCAGCTGACTCTTCATCATTCTTGCAATGTCTGGTTTGGCGTTGTCAGCCGTACGCACGCACTGGTCTGCTCTCCACGAGTGGTTTCAAGACTGGTTTTCAACTTTTATAGCTCAATAGTCATTGTCCATCCCTCCATGTCCAGTAGCCTGTCCAGTAGCTCGCAGTATCCCACGCCGGAAATGCTCCGCCATAAACACAGCATCACATCCCCGCGCAGGTTAGTTTAAGCACGTCTTCTGCCTCTCCTGCATCGTCAACCCACTGGGCACGGCGTTGCACGTCAGAGTAGAGTATCCACTTCTCATCAGCAACGACAATGCCATAGAACCACGCGCGCGTGCGCTTGTTTGCGGGTGCCATTTCTGCCTCTCGTGTGTCTGCCTTCAATCTATATCCTTCTGAGTAGGTGTGTAGGGTGCCCACCTACCCTATTTTCGCCCATACTTCAATCCATGAGGAGCGTTATGTGGGAGACTGTCTGGCATTTCAGTTTGGTAACGATGCTCCTCAAAGCAAGCTGTAATCCCGTGTTATTCTTGAACTTCACTGTCAATCCAGTGTGGCACTCAAATCTACCTTCATCTTCAATAGAGACGGCACCCTTCTCGAGCCTGCTGATATAGCGGGATAATCATTAAACTGGAAACGATCTCCATAAACGTCCAGCAGACGTAGATAGGACTCGTAGAGGCCGCACACTTGCAGAAACAGCATGACGTGGCGAGTGTGGTAGATTGACTATTCACTTGCCCCAGTCGATATTCAAATGGGCTGAAATAGGTATCACAACAAGATAATCGCAAATGTACCATCACTTTCCTCCTATTCGAGTAATATTAGTTGCTCGGAAACAAATGTGGAAACTCAAGTGAATTGTTTCAGTAGAAATCCTTACAAAAAGCAGAATTTGTGACCTCTGGCCAATACAGTGCAGTGTTCTCTATTGTTTGTGTACACGTATAGGTAACTATTTCGTGGGAGCTTCTGGAGCAGTTCAACCTACTCCATGTTTTGACCACCTTCAGGGCCACTTTACAGAAATCAATCAGTCACTCAAGATACTGTGTTGTACGAATGAAGGATTCCGTTCACCCTGCCAGTTTTTCGAAACGGCATGCCTTGTAATCAGATATTGCATATCCACATTTAACTGTGTATCCGATTGACCTGATCTCTTGCTAAAATAGCACCGATCTCTTTTTATTTATGTGGTTCGATCACCGCCACGATGACTTCGCTCTTAGCATAGTTTCTGAAGAAACGCACAATGTTTCTATATTATTGATGACTTCGCTATCTATATGTACATGATTTTATAATTATGTTGATCCACAGTTACTTTTTTCGCTTGAGAGCCACAGAGAGAATGAGTCCTCAAGGTAACACATTGGGCCATAGTTAGGATTGAGGCTGGCCGTGCGGCAACGCGTGAGGAGTATAAAATCGGCATCTGTGTAAAACTGACCTGCACTACCATCCCGTGCCACTTTTCGTCAAAAAAATGACACGCCTCATTCGCACCCGTCCCCTTACTCCGATTCACCATTGTACACTTTTATATAAAGGTATCTTTTTCCCCCCCAATTTTTTTTTGGAACGATATGGATTAGCATCACATTAGTCTGAGTGATCTTCGACTTATCTTGTGTCAGGTGTATTAGGAGTCCCCAAGGCGGCTCTGCAAAAGAAGTAGCCGGGAGTAGCTGCGCTACAGTCAGAAGGGATGTCGACCAACAATTCAGAGAGGTCGTTGACGAGATTTATTAGGTTGGTGCATAAGTTCTTAACCCCGACTTTTTCGTAAATATCTCAATAGCGAACCAACCTGAAGATTAGAGGTATGCACCATCACCATGAACTACTCGTCGCCAGCGCTCAGGCAGCTTGTCGATTCCTCCCAGAACGACGGGGGCTGGGATTCGAAGAAGGCCACAATGCCGCACAATCACCACTGTGACATGGTTTTGCACTGGTAATTGTGCGGCATTGTAGCCTGCAAATGCAGGGTGGTGAGTGATAGCTAGTGTGGTGAAAGAGTATCATGTACACGTCACGCACACGTGATGACGAAATAACCTCCATGCAAACGAAATACGGAAGGATCAAAACAGGGGGCCCAGAACTTATGCACCAACCTAATAGATTAAACGAGATTTCACCATTGTGAAAGTTTTCCTGCCCACCATAAGTTCGAAATGGCGGCTTAGGACAGCGCCTTGATCTTGCCGAACGTTGCTGAGCGTGAACAGGCTAGGTGCAGACAGATGGCTATTAACAGTCATCCGTACAGCTTCTTCTTGAGTTTTTTTTGCAACAGGAGGGGCCATATCCTAGGACAAGGCTTCTCGTGTCTTTGAAATACCGCATCTACTTCTGCGAAAAATGATTTCGTGTCTGCGTAGAACAGGGAGACGAAAACTGGGTACTATGCATCAATCATGTGTAAAGAGGGCACTGATTCCCTAAGTTAACAATGCTACCAGCTTAACCGAAACGTGGTCTACAGGAGAGTAACGCTCTACCGTGTCACTGGTTTGATGGAGACGATACCCAATTTTTACGCGAAGGCACCATTGTGATCGCCATCTAGACCAGAAGGTGGCTGACGAGATACTTCTGAAATTCCTGGAACAGTTAATGTAAGAGTGTGAATTTAGAATGTACACCAGTTCCACTGGAAGCCAATTGAATACGGTACTGACGGTAGATTATGTCCTGGAGTTGATCTGCAATCGCACCAACGCTGTGTCCTGTCATGCCCTTGTCGCACCTCCATCGTTTCTGCTCAGTCTGGCACATTTCACGCTCCCTGAAATCCAGAATTCTATTCACGGTTACTGAACAATCAAACAACGAACTTCACATTTAGCTCAACTCCCTTAATTAGTGCTCATAATCTACCTTCTCTTTCTATACTCTTCTTCTTCACCCGTTGTGAATACAATTTGTTCCGAGCGCAAATTTAACCAGAGGAAAACATCACGATCAAGAACACTGGCCCGTCGGTACGATGCTCTCTGAAAGCGAGTATCATTCGACTCTCCTTTTCTTGTTCTATAAACCAAAAAAGGGAAGAAAGAACCATACAGTCCTTAAAAGGGGGCAAAAGTAGAAGGATTCAACTGTTTTTCTTTTAGCTGCACTGGGTACCGGAACTGGAGCGTTACTTGACCGGCTATTACCATGAAGCTTTCCGAAATGTTTTAAATTCCTCCAGAGACAACACTCTGCAGAGCGATAATTGCAACTGTTGATCCTTCGGCAGCGTCTACCTTACAGGTACTAAACTTCTTCCGTAACAAGTCTCACGGCTTTGCCTCAAAAACGGTGCCGGAAAGCAGAAGTTTTTTACAGTTCGTTAGTAAAAAAAGTATGTGAAAGAAAATAATTTGAAAAAGTCCGTCGTCAGTTTTTTTTTCTGGCTACGAGGGAACTTTTCATCTGCACGCAAGTTGTCACCCTTTAGAAAGTCTCAATTTCGTTCTCACGAAACCATTGGAGAGGACGTAGAAACTGTTAGGATCTACGAGATCCCCTCTCTAGTTGCCCTCTGTTACGGAGTCTTGTTACAATTCTATTTCAGGTGGACAATATATCATATCAGGAGTTTTCACTGAATAGGAGCGTCCATAACATCACTTGGCTAGCTCTGCTAGGTTTTTTGTATCCGCTCTCACTTGTCCCAGTTTTGTTGAACTACAACACGACCCCTCTGTTGAGGATTCCTCAATGGATGCTTGGGCTGGAATGTATTAGGTTGTCCGGAAAGTTCTCAGCGTTTTGTGTTACTATTTTTGTACATTCATTGCTGATTAAAAACTCATTCTCCCTTGCGTCTCAGTAGTACATCCTGAAGAGAATTTTTTGCGCTATCTGATGGTATAATTGCCGTTTCACCATTGCTTGATAAACCCCCTTTTCCCAAGACTTTTTGAAGCATGTCAAAAGAGCAACTTCGGACGATATTTTTCTTCAACTACAAATTGGGTCAATCCGCAGTCGAGACAGCTCGACAAATTAACCAGGTGTGGGGGCCCAATAGTGTTGGAGAAAGCACCGTGCGACAATGGTTCGACAAATTTCGTTCTGGAGATTTCAGCCTTGAAGATGAACCTCGTAGCGGTCGACCTAAAGCAATACCTGACGAGGATTTGAAGGCGTTTGTGGAGGCTGACCCATCCCAAACAGTTCGAGAGATTGCAGAAAAGCTAGGCGTTGGCATGTGGTCTGAAACGCATTGGGAAGGTGAAAAAACTCGACAAGTGGGTGCCCCACAATTTGAGTGACCGGCAGAAATTGGCACGTCTCGAGGTTTCTTCTTCTGCTTTTGCGCAACAGAAACGACCCGTTTTTGGACCGAATTGTCACCTGTGATGAAAAGTGGATCATGTATGATAACAGGAGACGTTCCGGACAGTGGTTGGATGCCGACGAACCACCGAGGCAATTTCCAAAGCCGAATCCTCACGAAAAAAAGATTATGGTCACAGTGTGGTGGTCATCGGCTGGTGTGATCCACTATAACTTTGTCACCAGGCCAATAAAAGTACAATAGTATCAGAATCTTAAAGTAAAACTAGAAGAGAATCGAGAAAAAA